GGGAAAGCGATCCACTCATGTGTAGCTGTCGGCGTTTTTCAGCTCCTACTCTGGGAACAGAGAGCCAGGAGGTCACCACTAATCCACCACTTTCCTCCTCCTCCAAGCCCACTTTGTATAATATATGGCAACCCACTGTCCAACGAAGCCATGAAATCTTCAAAATTGCTTCACCACATGGAGACCAAGCACTCTACGTTAAAAGACAAGCCTTTGGAGTTTTTCAAAAGAAAAAAAATGTGAATATGGATGGAAGCAATTATTGAAGGCCACCACTTCATCAAATGTGTCTGCACTGAGAGCATGATTCTTAGTGGCTAACTGCATTGCTAAAGCTAAGAAGCCCTTTATTCTTGGTGAACAGTTGATCCTGCCTGCTGCTAAGGACATTTGCAGTGACATTTTAGGAAAGGCTGCAGTTCAAAAGGTGGCACGTGTTCCTCTTTTGGCTAGCACCATAACTAGACAAACTGATGAAATAGCAGAGGATATTGAGGCACAATTGTTAGAGAGGATTAATGAATCACTGTGGTACACAATCCAAGTTGACAAGTCTACCAATATTGACAACAAGGCAACAATGCTTATTTTTGTGGCACTAGAACTCAGGAGGATATGGTGCATGAGGATATGTTAAGCACACTTTTGTTGTCAGCCAACACCACACCTGCAAAACTATTCAAGTCTTTGAATGATTACATATCAGGAAAACTGAATTGGTCATTTTGTGTCAGTATATGCATGGATGGAGTGGCTGCCCTGACCAGACAACTTTCTGGTTTCACTACTTGGGTCAAGGAGGTCACTTCTAAATGTAAGTCCACACACTGTGTCATCCATAGAGAAATGCTGGCTAGCCAAAAAAAATGTCACCTGAACTAAACAACATTTTGCAGGATGTGATTAAAATTATCAACCACATTAAAGTACATGCCCTTAACTCACGTCTGTTTATGCAGCTCTGTGAGGAGATGGATGCAGAGCACACATATCTTCTCTGATACACAGAGTGAGATGGCTTTCTGAAGGTAGTTCACTAGCCAGAGTTTTTGAGTTATGAGAGCTGCTCCAGAGATTTCTTAAAAAAAAAAACCAGCCTGAGCAAGAGCGAGACCCCGTCTCTACTAAAAATA